TAACACCAATAAAAATTGTATGAATTATTTTTTTGATTTAATATAAAACTAACGAAAATTAGAAAATCAGTAATTTGTTGCTTATATCTCCTGATGAGTGGAACAAACGATTAGAAAATGGTTCGTGTACAAAACCATGGACTCGGGATGGTGAATATACCATCAGTCAGTTAACAAGTTTTTCATATGTGTGTGTGTTTGTGTGTGTGATTTATTGATTGATTGATTGATTCGTTTGTTTAACGACACATCAACACATTCATGGGTCATTTAATGCCGAATTTTAACTTTCTTGGGAGCTTTGAATTAATAACAATATGATATATGTTATTATGCTTTCACAATTGACTACATGGTAGATAATACTCAGCTTTTGTGCCTATGCACGTTTGTTGTTTGGTTGATTTTGTTTAGCGGTATATCGGCCCGAAATCGAAATAATTTGCACATGACTTTATACTTTCAGAATAAAAGATATGTTCTTTAGATATATAGTTTGTAGATCCTAAATATATTGCTCGTAATTTTGCTTTAAAAATATACTGTTGATTTTTGTTTGGAGGTTCTCTATTTGCCCATAGCTGGGACCCTAGCAGGTGCTACCACAATAACTAGATGGAATCAAACTAGTAATAGAATAATAGGAATAATGAAGAGTGGATCTAACCACAGGGTTGAAATAAAAACCAGAAATAATAACATGGAATCAAACAAGTAATAAACAATAATAATAATGATATTAATAATAATAATAATAATAATAATAATAATAATAATAATAATAATAAAAATCTGCAACTTCTACGGGAAGGAAACTGAAAGAAACACCACCCAGACCCAGTTTCGGAGTTAGGACCTGTTACAATTCTATGGGACTACACAATACACACTGACAGAACAATCAAGGCCAACCGCCCAGATATTGTTATTAAAGACCACAAACAAAAAACGGTGCCTCCTTATTGATATGGCAGTCCCTGCTGACTGCAATATATCTTTGAAGATATTCAAAAGTTGTCAAAGTACAAGGACCTTGAAATAGAAATCTCGAAAATGTGGCATATGGGAATATCAACAATCCCTGTCGTAGTTGGAGCCCTAGGACTGGTTGGAAAAAGATTGCAGTAGACTAATTGAAGGGATTCCTGGAAGTCCATGCCTCAAGGAGATACAAAAAAATTGTTCTGACAAGTACAGCCCACACCTTTTACGAAGGGCTTTATCTATGTAATTTAATTTTTTTTTTTTTTTTTTTGTGTCAGTGGAAAGTGTCATGACGCCATTTCTAACCTTAGGTCCCTAGGCGGGACCCGGAAAGAAATGTGTAAATGCCAGAAATCAAAGAAAATAAAAATAATAATAGTAGAACCTATAACAATTCTATGAGACTACACAATACAACAGACAAAACAGTCAAAACTAATCGCACAGACATTGTTATTAGAGACCGCAAACAAAACAAAAAAGTGCCTCCTTATTGATATGGCAGTCCCTGCAGACTGCAATGTATCTTTGAAGATCTTCCAAAAACTTACAAGGACCTTGAAATAGAGATCTCAAAAATGTGGCACATGGGAACATCAACAATCCCTGTCGTAGTTGGAGCCCTAGGATTGGTTAGAAAAGATTCCAATAGACTAATTGAAGGGATTCCTGGAAGCCTATTCCTTAAAGAAATACAAAAAATTGTTCTCACGAGTACAGCCCATGCCTTACGAAGGACTTTATCTATGTAAAATATGTGTGCCTGTTTTTTTGTTTTTTTTAAAGTGCCATTTCTGAACGTAGGTCTCTGAACGGGACCCGGAAAGAAATCAGTACACACCAGAAATCAAAAGAAATAATAATGATAATAATAATAATGAAGAATATATGTTAAAAGAACTGAGATAAAAAGCAACAATAATAAGATGGAATCAAACTAGTAATAAAATAATAGTAATAATCCGTCCTGGTTAAGACGATAAACTACATCCGCGTCCTGGGTAATATGATAAACTACGTCCAACAGCAAGAGCTCTGATCAGGCGGCTTTGAGGAGCGTGGAACGACGTCTTAATTAATGGTGTTTCCAGGTCCATCCTGACTCGGGGTGGTAGCACCTGTTAGGGTCCCAGCTATGGGCAAATAGTTAACCCCGAAACTGAGGTAAAAAGCATCCTAAAAGTGTAAAAATAGGTTTTAATACCAGAAATACTTTGTAAAAAATTATTACCAGAAATAAATTTTTGATGAAGAAAAAAAAACTATTACCAGCAATCCGTTTTTGTAAAAATATTACCAGCTATACGTTTTTCAAAAAATAATTTTACCTGCTATACGTTTTTGAAAAAATAATATTACCAGTTATACATTTTTGAGGAAAAAAATATTAACAGAAATAGATTTTTGACAAAACAAAAATATTACCAGGCAAAAAAAGTTGTCGGTATTAAATAACCCATTGAGGTTGATATGCCGTAAAACAAAATAAATCAAACCAATAGTAATAATGAAGAATGTATCTGGCTTTAGTTTTAGGATATAAAAAAAATGAATAATAATGTGTTCATGTAATAATCCCTGCAGGCTGCAATGTATCTTTGAAGATCTTTCAAAAGATATCAAAATACAACGACCTTGAAATAGAAATCTCAAAAATGTGGCACATGGGAACATCAACAATCTCCGTCGGTTTGGTTGGAAAAGACTGCAGTAGACCAGTTGAAGGGAATCATGGAAGCCCATGCCTTAAAGAAATACAAACATTACAGCTCACTCTTTACGAAGTGGAAAATGTCATGATGCCATTTCTAACCTTAGGTCCCTGGGCGGGACCCGGAAAGAAATGAGTACACATCAGAAATCAAAGGAAATAAAATATTAATACTAATGAAGAATGTATGTCAAAAGGACTGGGATAAAAAAAGAAAGATGAAAGATAATGTGTTCCTATCAGACATTGGTCTGGCAGATTTTGATATGAATTATTTTTATCAGATTAGAAATCTACGCCGACGATTAGCTTTCGTAAATCAGTCTGTATCAATCTATTCGATCTATATCTGATCAAAATATATTTATTGGATTTGCGATAATCTAATTCAATCCGTCCGTTACTTGCGGGCATCCCACCGGTCTTACTACGGCTGCTTTTTTTTATATTTTTGCCTTTTAAATTTATTCTCCGATTGTCAGTACATATACAAGCTTCTAAAATCTGCTAATACTAACTGAAGATTATCAATATTCAACTCATACGCATATACGCAAGTGATGGATCAGTTTTCAATTGTTCCAGAGAATTAAATTTAAATTCCTTTTGAATACATTCCCATTCCTTTTTCCCTAGTTAGTAGACAAAGTGATTGGCAGATCATGTGATCATGTGCCCCTTAACAGCCAATCAGTGAAGCCTGAGTCTGTACAGTAGGTAATCATGATATAGTCGCTGCGAGATGTCACGTGGGTAAGAACACATACTCATGTAATATGAAGTTATGGACTTGTGAGTAAAAAGCGAATTTTTGTAACACCCGCTAACTTTCTTTTTCAGGGTCGGAGGGAAAGTGTGTAACACATTTCTGCATAATAATAATAATAATAACAAAATACAAGGATCTGAAAAATTTAGCACATGAAAACAACAATAATTACAGTTGTGGTTGGAGCCATCATTTTGATTAGAAAAGGTTTTGATAAACTCATTGAAGGGATTCCTGGTCGTCTATGCTTTAAAAAAATACAAAATTACATTATTTACATTATTCGGACTATTGTCCTCATCTTTGTCGCCATATTTATCACAGCGTTTCGGCCGTTGTACGCTCCGGCCTTCTTCAGGTGGTTGGAATGTCGAACTGAACCCTTTATTTCGCTCTCTGGGGTAGACTGTTCTAATTCCACTTATCATGTCTATGTCAGTTATCAGTTATCTCCTGTTAATTCCCCTTACCGAGTTCTCCACCTCTTTAACCAGGTATTGAATATTTTGGGTCCTGTCACTGGATCTAACTAACGCCTTTATCCACTGTACCATGTGTCCTTGTAATAAATATGGCGACAAAGATGAGAACAATAGTCTGAATAATGTAAATAGTGTACATAATACCTCATCTCAGAAATATAGACAGATACTGAAAGGCCGAAGCGGTGTAATAAATATGGCGACAACGATGAGAACAATAGTCCGAATAATTTAAATAGTGTACATAATACCTCATCTCAGAAACATAGACAGATAGTGAAAGGGCCGAAACGTTGTAATAAATATGGCGACAAAGATGGGGAGAATAGTCCGAATAATGTAAATAGTGTACATAATACCTCATCTCAGAAACATAGATAGTGAAAGGCCGAAACGTTGTAATAAATATGGCGACAAAGATGGGGAGAATAGTCCGAATAATGTAAATAGTGTACATAATACCTCATCTCAGAAATATAGACAGATACTGAAAGGCCGAAACGTTGTAATAAATATGGTGGCAAAGATGAGGACAATAGTCCGAATAATGTAAATAGTGTACATAATACCCCATCTCAAAAATATAGACAGATACTGAAGATAAAACGTCTGAGAAGAAAAAGTTATACATTGTACCACCTGCACATTCAAGTTTACAACACCTGGTATCACCAAGCAGTTACCCATCACGGTACTGACGTTGCTTAACTTCGGTGATCGTACGAGAAACGGTGTTTGAACTTGATATGTCCGTTCGACCGTCCTATTCGGTGACATTAAAAATAACACTAGGGCAAGAAAACCTTCGAAATCTGCGTCCTTTCTTGTTAAAACCCATGGAATCCGTATGGCCTTCGCTTCAAGAAAACATTCTACTCCAAGAATCCGTTTCGAAAACTTATAACCTAAATCCGAGCTTCCTTTTAGTTGACACATTAATTCTTGTAAAAAAAAAAGATGGATTTATTTTATGCATAGTTTTAACGGCCCGAGAATTATCCTTATCTTTGAGTATGGAGTACCGCGTGTGTCAAAATGTAATATTCTCACTTTCATGAAGATTTTCATTATCTGCTCGACTGATAATCCGGTGTCTGACAGTCTACCGTACTTAGATTTTTCTTTCTTATTTATTGATTCTCCCTTTTTTTTTCTTCTTTTTTTTCATTTTTTCTTTTTTTATTTGTTTTTATTAAGATTAATTTTTTTTTTCGTTCTTTTCATTTTTTCTTTTTCAGTTCCATTGTTTTATTTTTTTACTGTGACGTTTCCTTCGTTTTTAATTCATTCTTGTCTTCTTTTTCTTTTCCTTCTCTTTCTCTTTTGCTCTTTTCTTCTTTTTCCTCCTCTTTTCCATTCCATTTCTTTCTGTTATTCTTTTTTTTTATTTTTTGACCTTCGTTTTTTTTTTCTCTTTTTCTTTCCATTCACTTTCTATTTTATTTTTTTATTTTTCATTTTCTTTTCTTTTCCTTTTTTTTTTTTAAATTATTTCTTTTTCTTTTCTTTTCTTTTTGACTTTTTTTCTGTCATTTTCATATTTTTCTTTGCCTCTTTTTCTTTCGATTCCTGGACTTTGTTCTTTCTTTCTTTTTCTTTTTTTCGTTGTCTTTCTTTTTATTCCATTCGTTTTTTTCTGGTTTTTTTTTTTGCCATTTTTTCTCTTTTTTTAAGTATTATTTTTCTACCGATTCGTTTTCTTTCTTTTATCTTTTTTCTTTCATTTTCTTCCTCTTTCTTTAGTTCTCTGTTTTTCATTCCTTTCTTCCTTTTTTTTCTTTTCGTTGTATATTTTCTTTCTTCTTTTAATCTTTTCATTTTCTCGTGTTTTCTTTCGTTTGCCTTTAATATTTCTTCTTTCTGTTTCCATTGTCCTTTCTTTACCCTCTCTTTTTATCGTATTCTTTTTTTTCTTTTCCTTTCTACTTTTTGCTGGCATTTTAGGTTATTTCTTTTTCTTTCTTCTTTTTCTTTCTTCTTTTTCTTTCTTTCAACTGATATTCCTTCCTATGGATTTTTTTTAATTGCTGCTCCGTTTTTCTTCTTTTTCGTTCTTTCCATGCCTTATATATATATATATATATATATATATATATATATATATATATATATATATATATATATAAGCAAATATATGGATATAGATCCGACAGTATGAAGAAAAAATATACGGAAAAAAAACAAACAAAAAGGGAATATGCAATTACGCTGTTTTAATGTTAATATAATGTCAATGTCGGACGTTTTGGTCTAGTAGACCATCTTCAGGACATATTCATAAAACATAATTAACATTAGACTATCCAACACGAAAAAGACGATGGACATAAGAGTAAGACTAATCCAAACAGATAACTGAAATGTTTCAAGATCAGCGTTCCGTTTCAATATGATCACGTCGGCGTCACGTGGGCGATGTTGTGAAAACATATTCCTAAAATAGAGTATTTTAAATGAAATGTTGAATTGAATATAGTTAAATGTTGAATTGAATATGTTAATTATGTTTTATGAATATGTCCTGAAGATGGTCTACTAGACCGAAACGTCCGATGTTGACATTATATTAACATTAAAACAGCATAATTGCATATTAGGATTTTTGTTTGTTTTTTCCGTATATTTTCTTCATATATATATATATATATATATATATATATATATAAAATGCACCGGTAATGCAGAAAATAGAAAAGAACACGTTGGGTGCATAATCCGGAGTTCCTTAGTATTTTGTTTTTATTTTTAAGAAGACAGTGCTCCATACAGAAGTAGAGCTTTCCTCTCTGACCACTTAACGAAGAAAAATAGTCTAGCCATTCCCACAATAACGAATGTTATAACGAACAATGCCTAAAAACACACGTAAACCAAGAGATAGCTTAATCCTAAAATTTCGCTTGAAGATGAAACGGGACTAAACACCTCAATTCAACTTAATTTTAATAATTACTAGCAGTAGAGCCCGGCGTTGCCCGGGGATGTAACAGTAAGAGATAGATCAAGTATCGACCATCATAAAGACTGAAAAATAAAATTGACAAAG